AAAGAACTCAGGAGGAAGAATACACTCTTACCTCAGGCTGCTGTGAAATTGCAGGCTGAGCTTTACTGTGGAACACACCACATCTGTCAATGTCCAGTGATAGCACCAAGACCCTGGGTGCTGCGGAAAGAACAATCAACTTGGGTTTGAATCCCCCTGCCTTGCACCCAGTGGTTGCATGACCCTGGGAGAGTCACTTAACTTCTCTCAGCGTAGGTTTCCTCATCTGCACAAAGGGGATAAGCCCTGTAGTGCCTCCTTCAGAGGGCTGCTGTGAGGAGAGCAATCATGTATGTGACATGCTCTCTGCAAACTGGTAAGTGCAAACATTCCCTGTTCTTTGGTCCTAAAGAATAGCAGGCTCTTTCAGCTTGGAGAGCATCACCCGAAAGAATTATAGACATGTTCTGAAAAAATGACAGGTGAATGGAATGATTGCCCTTTGACGAGTTACTTAGCACCACCTTAACATATGAGGTGTGACTGTAATGTAATGATATCAATTTCCATAAGCCATATACAAAAATCAGTTTCACTTTGTACTTCAGAAGACAAATTTACACACACCTATCATGGAGTTATAAATGTAGTGTTGAGGTTTCATTTTGTTTCTTAACTTATATTTTAGTAACAATGAAAAACTTATTTTATCCTTACTTGGTCAACAACAACTTGACATGTAGATATGCATGTCACTGAGTTGGGCTTTTTTTCATCCCTTGACTGTGTTGTTTTAGGTGACTTAAATAAATGCTGCCTGCCTGCTCTCCTCACAGAAGTAAAAATGGGTATAGAACAGTAACTCCTAAGAACTTTCGTCACCAAAGCAAGGCAGCACAAGTCCCATTCATCCCCTTTTGCAGGTGGAGCTCCTGAGGCTGTGAGGGATGATGTAATTAGTCACCTGGAAGTCCCAGAGCATTTTCACACTCCTCTGTTCTTTCCTCCTTCACTACGTTCACTATCTATCCATTTGACGCTCTGTGCTGATTGCATTCAAATCCTTATTCAATATCTTTACCTTCCCACAACTTCCTCTTACTTCATCCCCTCCCTCTCTCTTCAGACCCCTTTTCCCATTCCCATCACCATTCCATTTTCTTTTCTCTACACCTCCTTATTTGTTGTCATTGTTGTTGTTTTTATAAATAGTATTTTTTTTCCAATTACATGTAAAGATAATTTTCAGCATTCATTTTTTATAAGATTTTTAAGTTCCAATTTTTTCTCCCTCTCTCCCTTCTCCAAGACAACCAGAGATATGATATAGATTATACTCGTACAATCATGTTAAACATATTTCCATATTAGTCATGTTGTGGGAAAAAAAAAAAGAACAAAAGGGAAAAACCAGGGGGAAAAAAGTGAAAATAGTATGATTTGATCTGCATTCAGACTCCATAGTTCTTTCTCTGAATGTGGATAGCATTTTCCATCATGAGTCTTTTGAAATTGTCTTGGATCATTGTATTGCTGAGAAGAGCTAAGTCTATCTGGTTGTTCATTGCACAGCGTTGCTGTTACTGTGCACAGTATTCTCCTGGTTCTGTTCACATCACTCAGCGTCAGTTCACATATACAACTCCTTATTTGAAACAGAACCGATCCAAAGACCTCAAGGATGCTAGCATCGTGCCTTCACTGGGCAGAGCCCGCCCCATTGCTAGGACAAATGCAGTAGCATCTTCCAAGTTCTGCCTCCATATTTTACTTTCAGACTGTGAGGTAAGCAGGCTAGCAGAGAAGAATCTTTGGAAAGGTGAGGAGAAAGAGAGTAGGTATAGAACAAACAGTCCTGTGGCTGGGCCGGCCCTTGGCAACTGCTGCACATGGGTCCCCAGTCATTTCACTAGGGTGTCCAGGTTGTCCTGAATGCTGGTTGTCCCATCTTCCCCCTTTGCTACGTGATGGCAGTGCTATAACCATAGGTGTGTGTGGGAGGCGCTGGGCCATTCCAGTGTGCCAGAGATCCTGGAGCCAGCACTGGGAGCAGTTCTCCAGGCTCCAGCGTGCCATCATTGGTTCAGGCACCACAGATACTCTGTTTCCTTCTTCCTCTTGGCATTTCCTTCTCATAGGGTCTGGAGAGGGAGAAAAAGGAGACATTCCTGAGGACCTGGTAATCCTGACCCTCTACCATTCTCTCTGTGGTGCAGTGGCATTGCTTGGTGGGGTCAGTCAGGCTCTCTCCCCTCCCTCTCCCACCCCCCCAGCTCTCAACTCCCAGTGTGAAAAAAATTGAATAGCCATTTTCTCCCTCCTCTGGTCACTTTGTTTTCCACAGCTTTTTGCCGTGGCAAGTTGTCCTGGAGCCCTGGCTAATATGGGCGATAAAGAAAAAAAAGTTTAAATTTTAAAAGGATGTTCCTCTGGTCATTAGTCCTTAAATCCCCCCAACTGGTACTTCATGGCCTAGTTTAGAAGTAGGGGAGCAGAGTCCAGTCAGAAAGATTTTTCTTTTTTAGCCAGCAAGATAAAGGTGAAAATACTGCCCTATGTTTTAAGTTAAGAGGAAAAATTTGATTAAAAGAATTCTCTTTGTAAAGTTTTGTTTCTTTTTTAATAGACATTGGCAGGGAGGGGCAGAGAGGAGAATGGTATTCCCTAGCTAAAAAGAACCAGACAGCCTTAGTTTAAGATCTGGAAGATTAAATTTGTCATCCTTTTTGTGAAAGTCTCAGTTTGTTTAGTACAACAGGTTCTAAAAAAAATAAATATAGGACATGTCAGGGACTTAAACAGGGTTGATGAGAGCATTTATCCATCTTGCTTTTAGAAGGGAATCCAGAAGGCTGATTAATAAGCACTAAGAGAAGAGAGTAAACACAACAGTAGCCAGTGAAAAAACTCTTAAGGACTTTAAGGTCTTTCAAAGGTGTAAGGCTATTTGGCCAAGAAAGAGAAAAGAAACACTGTTGTGTAGAGAAGGATGTGGCCCTATTTTCTACTTCTTTCTGAGAGCCCTAAGATAATATAAATTCTCTTGCCTTCATACCAGATTCATTTTTTTTCCCCACTCTGTCCCAGATCCCACTTAAAATTGTTGTGTGTTAGGCTATTTTGTATTTTTGAGAGTTAAAATAATTAAAGATCTTTTATAAGTTCAAAACACTTTGAAATAGGTAAATACATATATACATATATATATATATATATTCACACACATAGTAGGTTCTCACTTAAATTTATTGAATGAAGGTCTGACCTACCTAAATAGATTGCATTGATCCTGATTTCCACTGGGTTATTTTAATTAGCTACCATTCACAGACCTACTTTACAGGGCTTTTTCTTCATTCAATTTATTCAGTTTTGCATGGCTGAAAAATGGACAGTTTAGGCCATGTTATTAAGATAGCCAGTTTGGTCTGACCAATTTCTAATATTGAACCGTTGAATAGTTTTTAAAAAGTAATTTTCTTATTTATGAGTTTGATTGTTTCTGGTGTGTGTATATGTCTATGTATGTATGTATATTTGGTGCATTATAATAACTGTAAAAAAAAATGTGAGTGAGAACCCTGTGCCATCCTTAGTATGCAAGCTCTGTGACTTTGGGGGTGGAGGAGAGGAGAATCCAGGTATCAGAATATGAACAAGAAAAACAAAAGAATGAGAAAAGAAAACGCAGAACAGATAAAGAAGGAGTAGGATAAGTGAGTGCTTTACAAATGAAAGCAGATGTATGAAATTACAAGCTGTCGGATCAGCAACGGAAATGAAGATGATAAAGTGGTTCCCTGCACAGATTATAATTATTCATTTTGCCCAGTCCTGCATCCTTTCCCCATAATCCTCGTGGGGGAGGGTGAAAGAAGGTACAGTAAGAGATGATGCTTCCAACGTGAGAGGGAAGGCTGAGAATCCAGAATGTCTCGGTAGCCATAAGACAGTTGTTTATTTTGCAGTTTGGACTGATCCTATTGACTTGACGTTATTTTCTGTGCCTTCAAAGACATTTTTTCAACTAACTGTTCTGATTGATGAAAAGGGCTGTTGTAACAAAAGTAACTGTAAAGTTTCTTTACAATTAGTGTTATTGGAGGCAGCCTGTATACTACACAAAACAAGCATCATTAATAGGCTCTGCTTTGACAGCCACAGCAGATGGATGGCCTGAATTTAGATGGTGCAGAAGAAATGGAGTGGTTTACATAGACCTGCCTAAAAAGATGTGTTTAATAATTGCACTCATAATTAGGTTGATTTTAACAGAAATGACAATCTCATAGGCAGCTAGACTTAAAAGGTAACTTATTATATTCAAATTCTATGAGAAGTATCACATAGGTATTCACTTAAATCTCTTGTTTAACAGGAACAAACAAATATATTTGAGGAGACATTTTAATAGGTCCATGTTCTCATGGCTTTCAGTAGGATTTTGTAAGTAGCAAAACTAGAGACATAAAGCACAAAAGTATAGAAAGAGCAAAATATCTATGTCTATTTTATAGTTTGATATGTTTACATATACCTGCCACACCCTAAAAATGATATCTTAAGCCATTAATATAACTAAAGGATATTAAAAAGCCGTATCATCAGTTCAACGTGCTGCTTGAACAAATATTGAAGGGCCTGAGAAAGGGGCTTAACCCATGATTTCCTTAGTGTTGGGGGTTCCCAGGGAAGACCTTCCTCTTCCAATGCACCTCTGCACCTTCTCTGCAATGTACAGCCTTAGCAAGGTGCCCAGAGCACGAAGAGGCTCAGTGACTCACCCAGGGTAACACAAACACTATGTATTAGAGACATAATTTGAACTCAGGTCTTCCGGGCTCCTGTTACCCTAGATTGCCTCAAGAAAAGACATATTTAAGGGGTAAAGACTCAATCACTGAGTCCATCAACTAAAAGAGAACAATAAATGACCTTTGAAGATTATTTTTGTTTTCTTTAAGTCAGATCTTATAAATTCAATGATAACAGAAAAGAAAAAAAGAAAAACTTTAGCCAGAATATATTCAATTGGTGTCACCTCTTTGCCTTTTTTTTAGTGATCTCCAGTAACTATCAAACCTGCCTGGGACTTCTGATGCATTATCCACCAATTGGGGATGTACATTCACTTATCCTCAGGGCCCTTTTCCTTCGAGACCCAAAGGTAAGTCTTCCAGTTTAGAAACTGATGTTAATGACTTGGGTGGTAGGAGGAGGACTCTCATTTTCACATAATATAAAGAATTCCTATGAAGTTTACCCCTGAGTTGATGATAAGCATTTGTTTAAAGTTTGTAGACCAAGAAAAGAAGCTGTCACTGACTTCAGAGACCTAAGATGCTGCAGTAAATTGTATTGAAAGGTGTCATGTGAAACGGAAGAATAAGTCTCAGGTTCCTGCAAAGGGCCTGGTTGTGCCATTGTGCACTGCTGCTAACTCAAACAGATCATTCACAACGACCTCCCCATCCAGCCACATCTCATCTCTGGCGTCCCTCACAGGGGACCATGTGCCAAAGTAGAGCCTGGAGGGCAATAGCAAGACCAGCAAACTCTATCTGGAAAACAGACCATCACTCATTATTCACATTTACTAGATGCTAAAACCCTGAATTTATTTAATCCAAAGATTATGCTTTTCTAAATCTTAGAGTTAGCAGTATTTCAAATGGATATTTAAACAGGCTCCAAAGCAGATTTGCCCTATGAAAGATGATAGCATTGCACAGAAATTTTCTTTACACTTCATAGAAAAAGTGTGCACTTTTACAACTAATGTTATATTTCTTGAAAATAAGAACATTTAATGATCTTGAAAAAAAAATCTGTGAATCCTTGCTGTTTTTTGAGCCAAACAAAAATATTGGATGAAGTGAGAGAGAGAGAGAAAGAGAGAGAGTGCTCAAAAACGAATGTAAGGATGCCAGGCATTGGATGATAATCGCAGCCTTTGGATCTTTGGCAGACCCCCCAAAACAGTTGTGCTGGCAGCTTTAGAATTGTCTTTGAGTCAGTCTGTCAGTTGGTTAGGCTGCCAAAGCTATCTCTGAGCTACCCTGGCCTCGAAGTTCAGTGCCCTTTCAAATCTGAAAGATTTCTTCACTTTCTTCCTTTACTGGCTCCTGTCCTTGTTTGTGACCTCCATTCATTCTTTTATGGATTCAAGAATATTGTCTCCTTGTACCTGTAGCAATTTTCTGCAGAAATATGTATTTTTGCATCATTTCTTTTACACACAGAGATTTCTTTGAGCATCAGAAACATAATCCATCATTTCTCTGATATATAAGAAGTGCATGTAGTTTTTGAAAGATTTAGGTGGTAGCCTATGAAATCAGTTCCAAATCGATTTTCCTGTATTTTGGTTACAGACAACAGTATTAATAGATATTTGTAAAAAGGAGACTAAAGGTAGAGAAGAGAATACATGCTAACCCACCAAATTAGAAATCCTGCCTTTGTAGTTTTTTAAATGTAATTCAGGAGGGAAAAAAAAGAACGTCTTAGCTAAAACCATCTCTCTTGGTAATTTGTTCCCTAGAATAATGGAGCTCTGCTTCCCATGAATCACTCACCTTGTTGCAGGATCCTACGTGGGTCCATCAGTATGATTAGTGAATCCAGGTGCTTTTTCATGTTTCTGTGGCTTTAATAGAATACTTTTCATGAGCACAGAAGTAGAGTACTATACATATTATGACAGAGGATAATAATGTAAAATCTAAAGGAAGTAACTAAACAAAGTACAATTAAATCTTCCTTTAACCGAAAAAAAAAAAAATTCAGCCTCTTAACAAAGGGAATTCCCTCATTCATATTCAAATAAGAGCATCCCTGATATTGAACCAAAATATACAATAGTATTACAAAGTAGAAGATGTTAAGCATGAAAGTCAAAGCCTAATCTATAAGCTTTGGGGAAGGTCCAGAGAATTAGGTAAAAGGAAACAGATTCAGATGTTTCTCTGAGAGTCAGTTCATTGCATGACATTCATAAAACTCGGATGGTGTAATGGTGGGAAAAATAAAAACAGACAAACCATGTCATAATATGGAGACCCAACCTAAGTCAAAATGGCAAGAGAGGCACTCGGTTTCCATGCCAAACATAGCCTCTTGTAAATGTTCACTAAATGAAACTAGTAGCAGAAAAGAGCAAATGGAATCCATCAGACTGAAAATATCCCAAGGAATCGATGTTACCCATTTGTTTTTAAAGTGGAAAGTGATCATTCTTAACAGAATTAACTTGATGGTGAAATTTTCCAGCTCTACAGTATATACTTAAGTGTAAGAGCTATAGGATAAGTTTACCTTAATTTATAAGAAAACACAAGGGAAAAAGAGTAATTTAGCCAAAAAATAATAACTCGCTAGCATTTATGTAGAGCTTTAAGGTTTACAAAGCATTTTACAAATATTACCTCATTTTTATCTTCACAAGAACCCTGAGAGGCTGGTGCAATTGTTTTCCCTATTTTACAGAAAAGGAAAGTGAGGCAGGTATCAGTTAAGTGACTTTCCCCGAGTCCTATAGCTAGTGTCTGAGACCAGATTTTAATTCAGGTTTTTCTGACTCTAGGCCCAGTGTGCTGTCCATGGTGTCACCTAGCTGCCTAGGAATGATATTTTGTTTTATTTTTTAGTAATTGTAATTTCAGACTAATTTCAAGTTACTAGTTGTAGATCGGTAGGACTAAAAAAATTTCATCTATTTTCCCCACAGAAGGTACCTATGTAGAAGTGAAACAACAAAAAGGAAGATTAAGATTAGTTACACAAATCCCCCATCAATGAATTAGTTAAGAAATGAGATTTAAAATAGGAAATCACTACCGTCTCTATACCAGGTACAAATGGTAGTCAAGATAATAGCATTTTGCAGTACATTACTATAATGACAGCATTTTTGCCCTGTAACTATCCCCAAACACCAGAAGACACTGATAAATTGAGAACACATGAGTGTTTTAAATATAGGTTTGATTGGTTTTGGTTTTTTAGCAGAAATTTGCCAGTTATTTGGCAAATGCTGCTTATTCAAACGAACTAAAGTTAGCAGTTATTATAGACATATTTCTCTGTCCTCCCAACAAATTTCATAGAATCTCATTGGGACTAGGTCTCAGCAGCCGTCTAGTCCAACCTGTGTGAGGAAGCTGGGTGGCACAGTGGATAAAGCACCAGGGCTGGAGTCAGGACTGAATCAAATCTAGACTTAGACCCTCACTGGAAGTGTGACTCTGCCTCAGTTTCTTCAACTTTAAAATGAGAATAATAACATCACCTACTTCTCAGAGTTTTCGTAAGGATCAAATGAGGTATTTGTCAGGCTCTTCACACAGCACCTGGCACATAGTAGGCACTTTGTAAATGCTTATTCTCCTCCCTTCCCTCTTCCCCATACCTCTAAAACATCCCTGACAAGTGGTCCTTTGCTTGAAGACCTCCAGCGAGAGGGTTTCTTCTTGAAACCATTTCTGAGCACTTGTTCAGAATCGTGACTGAATAGATTGTGTAATTGGAAGACAAAAGAATTAGGCATCATGAGCTTAACGTGCCCGGCCCTTTCAAGCAGTCCTCACGTGACCTCTGGAAGCCCTTCATCGTCCTGGATGGGCCCTATTAGTGTAGTTTCCCTCCCAAGGGTCCCAGTACACAGCACAGTATCCCCGATGTGTCTGAGCAGGGCAGAGGGCAGAGGGCAGCATCCAGAGAACACCCTCCCAGCCCTGGACGCTCAGTAGCCCATGTGCTCATTAGGTTTGGGGCTACCTTACCATGCTGTTGTCTCCTGTCAAGCTTGCAGCTGGTATTGAACCACAATGTACTATAACATTATTTGAAGTTAAAATGTTTCTTGATATACTTTAGTAAAACTGGTCAACATTAATGAACTCTTTTGAAAGTCATTATGTAACAGACGAATGCCGGGCATATGGATAAAAATTTAAAATAATAGTCTATCAAAAGATTAAAAGTAACTGAAGCAGTAGGACCTAGAATTGCTCAAAGGACTATTGGAGGATTGAAATGTGGGGTTTATGAAAATCTATTCTGTGTGAAGAAATGGCATGGCAAATACATACTACTAGATGAAAAATTGTCACAGACTCTTGTACCCCATATATTATAAATATGGTTTGTAGGCTTCTCTTGTCATCCTCCTGTCCTCATTGTCTCATTTTCTTTTCTTTGGTCATATCGCTAGCACAGAATAGATTTTCAAACAGAATCTCTTGGTTAAACTAGAGGGAGGGCCAGCTGAAAAATATGAAGTGATTAAAAAACAGAGTTCCAACCAGAGTTGTTCAAATAAAAAAAATTTTAAAACCCAATTAGAAACAAAAGTCATAGAAAATGTGAACATATTGTGTTCCTTAAATAACCAGATGTTCCTTCTCTCCTGAAGGCAGTAAGGGCTAGGAATAAAAGGTTTAAAACTATTGTTTTAAGTTAACTGTGAATTTTGCAAATCTGTTTTTACCCTTTAGCAAATAAAATTCTAATACAGCAACATAAGCAAAGTAATTTTCATCATTGGGCGTTCTTATTTGTATGTTGTTGTGTGTGTTGAAGTGTTAACCTTATCACAATGACTTATTACAAATGAAATACAGTACATAAAAAATTACCATTGTACATTCTGCGCTAGGAAGTTGCCGGCTCTCCTTTGTCAGTCTCGGAGGCTCGAATGTTTCTCAAGAAATATACCTCCTAAGTTGGGAAGCAGCCCTTTCACTAGGGCGCATTACTGTTTGCAGAGGAAACTAGTTAGAAATAAGGCAGTTTAATTTCACAGAGCCATTTGTGTATATATAAACTGCCTATAAAAATATATAACATGCACTGTGATTATACTTGTCCAATTCAAATTGGGCCTCCATGTTTGAGATAATACTAACTTTCATTTCTTTATCTTATTGTAAAATGTCAGATTTTAAGAAAGTAACTCAATTAAACATTTACTCATAATGCAAAAATGAAATTTTATATATTTGTATGTGTGTATATATATGTATATGTAGTGTGTATATTATATATATGAATGGAAATGCACATGACAGCATCAGTAGCATTGAATGACTTCAGCAAAATGGGTCTTTTGCAGAAATTAGTGCTTCAGGAAGTAAGTATTCTAAAAATTGAGAAGTAGTGACTGAC